TTTTTCTGTGTGTGTTGAAAGAAACCCATACTATGAACAAACAAATGTTATTTCTTATGTATAGAACTCTGCTTCTGCAAAGATCCTAATAAAATTGGCACTAATTATTTGGTCTTGGTCCTGTCTTCAACATTTAAGCACTCTAGCAGTAGTGGAATTACTTTTCACTATGGAAATTTTGGAGCACAAATGTCAAATATTACATCAGTTTGGATATTCAGCAGACACAACAGCTACAATTGTTTTAGGCAATTTTGACGAAATACCGTGCAAGGAAATTGGTCTGTAAATTGCCAGAATAAAATTTCCCAAACTTTCTGGAGCGCAAATAATCATTCTTCTTTCAAAGTATTAATAAGCCCCACAATGATGTGTTTTATAAAATATCAAAAATATGAAAGAGCAGTCCCTAAATATCATCTGCAGGTAATCATAATAGCTGTACTTCTAGTTGCATTCCAGCATTTAGTTTTTCTTTAAATTTAATGCAATGTGACAGTCCAGTCTATTCTAGAGCTGTCTTGTGTTTTCCTTCCAAGAAATCCAGTTTCTAAAAGAAAAAGGTCAAAGCAATTGAAAGACAAGAGAACTTGCACATTAGCCTTTCCATGATCAACATCCAAACCATAGCTAGGAACAAGTCTGTATCTCTGAGTAATTCTGGCATACTGAAAAGATAGCCAGGTGTTTTGCTGCTTATAGAATCTCCCTCAGTCTCACAGTTAATCAAAAAATAGGAAAGGAAAAACAAAAACCAACCTCACTTGCCAGAGACAATTCAAGATACCTAAATACTTTCAAATTATGATGCTAATTACCCAGATTAAGAAAAGGCTCATCTGCAGATTTAACAAAATTATTAGTAAATAACTTCACCATTTGTTCAGGATCATTTACAAACTCATTAGCCAGATACAAGAATAACATCTTCACTCTGGGCACAGGTCCAAAATGGTCATTAACAACAATATGAAATTGTTGCACAGAAAAAGATTTATCCTTAAAATATGTTATAATACTCAACTCTTACTTTTCAAATGCACATTTTGTATTGAACCCAAATGGCACTTACTTCAGACAAATGATCTTTCACATATGGTTCCTGTGTCACATGCAGTTCTCCTCAATGATGTATGCAATTCTTTTTCAGATTTTTTTTTAATTTAATTCTTGCCCTTTGTATGGCACGTGGGCTCAGGATATGAGAAGGCTGTTGATCAAAAGAGAATGCCACACATACCTCCATGTGCATGGACCAAGGCTTCCAGCATCTCCAAGGCTTGCCAAAGAGCCAAAGAGCTCAAATTTTGTAGGTTAAGCTCTGAGAAGGAGTCAGGCAAGGGCAATGGTCCGTTGTGAAGTAGAATCAAAGGAAACAGGAACTGAGCACATTACCTCTGGGTTTAAATCTCTTCAGCACAGCCTGCACTATTTATTCTTTATTATTTACAGGGAGATTAAATTTGCCTCTTTCTCTTTTGGACTACTGCTGAATTTGAACACATTTTGCAGAGTAAAAGTGAGTGTGAACCATTATAAATGAACTTCCTTGATATTCAAGAGAAGACTGTAGCAAGGAAAAAAATAAGCAACTCACACATAGTTGGTAAGTGCTTAAAGTCACACTATGCCACAGCAACAAAAAGCACTCATTTGGGTAACTTATGTCAGCATTTGATGAATAAATTGTAATAGTTCCATATAAACAAGCCATATTAAGGCAATATGTAAACATTTCTAAAGAAGGATGATTTGTTTAGATCCTCTAGACCTTCTCTGAGTCTGAATCTGGCTGCAACGTGTGATCATTTTGTGACAGTCAGCCTGTTGTGGTAGTAAGCTGTTGTTATATTATTATTGTTGGATGAAAAAATAGGCCTCATAATTTATGTCCTGAACTAGAGTAACAAAAAACCCCTAAAATGAAGCATTTATGTGAAAATAATTTCCCTAGAATGCTGTATACAGTTTCCTAAAAATGAAAGAATACGAAAATACGCTTGAAACTTTTCCTGAGAAGATAAGTGGTTTTCACCAGAAAGGCAGTGTAATTGTCTTCGACAAATTTCACCACAGCTTTAAATGAAACTTGAAAAATACAAAACAGTATATAAAAAGTGAAAGCTTGTGAAGGCCCAGGACTGGGTGACACAGTTTTATGTCACCCAACATAACACAAACCTGTATTTTATACTGTATTGAACCCTAAGAAGGAAGAAATTGTTTTTACAGAGAGAGTAATCAGACATTGGAATGGGCTGCCCAGGGAGGTGGTGGATTCACTATCAATGGAGGTTTTTAAGATGAGACTGGATATGGCACTTAGTGCCATGGTCTAGTAACCACAGCAGTGTTGGATCAAGGATTGGACTTGATGATCTTGGAGGTCTTTTCCAACCCTGTTGATTCTATGATTCTAATTATGTGCCTATTCAGCAGTTTACCTAGATAGCAGGAGGATCTTTTGATGGAAATGGAGGTAAAGTTTAAGGTCTGAGAGGTCCAACTTCATGGGTAGCTCACACCTAAGCAGAAATAAGAGGAGGAGTCTGAAAGTAGCACCTGATTTGGTTGTTCAAATAAGAGGAGGAGTCTGAAAGTAGCACCTGATTTGGTTGTTCAGGGTCAACAACTGTCTGAAACTCAGGCAGAGGAGGGGTTTCAGGCACTTGTTACCTGAATTCAAGTATGCTGGGGTATCTGCATAGTAGCTAGGGATGAAATTTGTATTTGTATTAGCAGAAGATCATCAGCAATTTAAATACATGCATTTTTACATAGATATTCTTATACATTCCTAACATATGTATAAGAAGTCCAATGTGGAATACAACTTACAAGATTAAAAGCCAATATAGAAGCTTACTTTAGAAATATTAAGTGTCCCACTCTGTCCACAAATTAATAAATATTTTTAAGTCACAAGACTGGAGGTAGATCCCAGGCCTAATGAATCAATCATAAACTCTATATGAATTCAAAATACTAATTATTTTTCTCTCAATTAGTAAGGAACATATTTTCCACAGATGAAGCAATTCACTCATCAGTCTCTGCAATTTTGGTTGCTGTCCTTCAGTTCACTAACGTTACTGTATGAAAAATTAGAAAATTGTTATAAGTTACTACTTTTGAGGAATTTTCTAAATTCCTGCACAGTCCTGCTCCTTGCACATCCCCTGATGACACAGGCTTAAAGTAGTATTCTTCTTTCTTCTTTTTTTTTAAGCATTTCTTCTGCACTGTGTTTTCAAACGAAAGTGCTTTTCCTAAGGTGAAATGGAGCTTTGTTATTGGTTTCAACCAGTTTCATGAGAAGTGATGGAAAGATTTCTTCTTGCAAACATACTCATGGGCTTTAGATCAGAGTGTAGATAGCTTTTAGTTTCAAAACCTGAATTATATTGATTCTTCAAAATAAAAATTGTAAATTAGCTTGGGATCCAAAATAAATCACCCCAGTGAGCAAGCACAAGTCTGCCTTATCAACACTGCAAGAGCTGTAGTCCTAATCCAACACTACACTACAGGGTGTCTGTAATTACCTGATGACTGTATTCAGATTTAAGTGTTTTACTCACGATATTCCAGTCAACTACTAGAGCATAAACTAAAAGTTGAGTTGAGTCTCTTTGATATCTGAGCCCTTCTTTAAAGCAACAAATGGCTACTGCAGCTGGTATTCCAGCATTTTTGTTAATCCCTAAATAAAGATACTGCCTCCACATCAGCCAAACACACACATCAAGTAGACGTCAACTCAAGTCATCAGACCAATCAAAGTAATTCAGATTTCTAAATCTGTTCCATAATTTTTGTTCTACAATGACTAATTTTTGTGGCTTTAATCCTCCATTCCTTGCTGAGGCAAGATTGTACCCGACAGGTTTCCAACGCTTTCTAAGTCGGTACACTATGGTCCTTTTTGAAGCCATAGACCCTCTGAAAATACCACGTAGTATAATCATTTCTTTGGACATCCCTACATCCAACAGACTGCAGTATCTCTAATTGCAAAGGCAAAATTGTGTGCATCTCCTCTTTGCATTAGGAAAGACCCTCTGGTGTCTCCACTACTTTGTTCATCCCCAGAACAAACCAGTGCACATTGCACTAGCCCTGCTTCATCAACACTTATGTTAATACTCCAAACTGGATCATACACACTTATCACTGTCTTCAATAGCCTAAAAACGGGTAGCTTTGCAGAAAATCAAAATGCACCTTTCGTGAAAACAGAAGTCTGGAAATGATCACTTATTTCTGGCAACATCCAGAACTAGAAAAATAAAAGATGACTGGCCTGTATATCCCTAATCCCACAAATATATACACACACATTCTCCAGTGTGTGTGTACTGCATGCAGTCCCGTTGAATCCAACAGGACTACTCCTGGCCCTTCATTCAGCACCAGGGTGAACTTTGCACATCCTGCCTTCCTCTTCCCAGCCGACAGATACGCGCCCACCGCTTCAGGAATCCACGGTTGGCGTGTCGCGGTGTGAGGCTGGAGGGGCCACACCCACGAGGAAACCCCCGGGTGCCTGCCACGAGTGTGGGGAGGGAGAGCACCATTCTCCCTCCCGAGCTCCCCAGTCACTGGCGGGTGCCCTGTGAGTCCCGTCCCGAGCTGCTCCCCACGGGCAGCCCCTGCTGCCCACGGCCCCGCAACCCGGGAACCCCGCGGTCCCGCGGGACGCGGCGGGACGGGGTCCGAACCCCCCCAGCCCATCCACCGGCGGGACCCCGAGGCCCGCCCTCGCCGCCCCGGCCGCAGCGGCCCCTTCCCCGGGCGGAGGGAGGGAGGCGGGGCCGAGCCGGGCCTCGCGGGGCTGGCGGCGAGAGCGCGGTGCCGCCGGCGGCCGAGCAGCGACGGCGAGCGGAGCGGCAGCGGCCGGGGGCTGCGCAGCGGGGCCGCGCCCGGCACCCGGCAATGGCCCGGCAGTAGCAGGGAGCGCTCCGCCGCCCGCCGCTCCCGGCGGCAGCCCCCGCCGCGCCCCGTCCGTCTATGAGACCCCGCCCCGGCGCCAAGATGAAAGGTAGGGACGGGAGCGGGCGCCCGCTCCGCGCCGCACACGTGCGCCGCGGGCACGCGCACCGGGCACCGGCCGGGAGGAACGGGCAGCGTCGGATAGTGTGCGGGCGGGGAACAGGCGGCGGGCAGGACCTGTAGGTGCGGGCAGGATCAGTGGGGTGCGGGCAGGATCAGTGGAGTGCGGGCAGGATCAGTGGGTCGTGCGGGGAGGACAGGTGGTGGGCAGCGTGCGGACAGGGCAGCACGCGGACAGTCTGCAGCAGGGCAGCAAGGGGGGATTTCGGGCAGGGTGCAGGCAGGGCGGTCAGTGGGGAGGGTGCCAGCGGCGTAAGCCGCCCGTAGGAAGGGTGCTGGCAAGACACCGTCAGGCAGGTGGCGGGCAGGGCATGCCGGCTGTGGGCAGGGCGCCGGCAGAGCACGGGCAGCTGGTGCCGGGAGGGGCAGAGCGCGGGTCTCACCGCGCCCCCGGGTCATGCGTGGGGCCGGCCCGGCAGCGGCGAGCCCAGGCCCCGCGCACCGAGGGCTGCGCTGCCGCCGCGGCTCGGTTTGTGTCGGTCGGTGCCGGCCCGGGAGAGGGTGTCCGTGTGCGTGTCCGTGTGCGTGTGTCCCGTCATGAGTGCTCTCCCCAGCACGTTTTATCTCGGCACCCAGCTTTTATCTTCCCCCTCGCCGGCGTCCCGAGAAGAAGACTTGGGTTTCTCCCTGGCTTATTTGTTTATTTTTTGCCAGCGTTTCGCGATGTTCTTGGTGTACCTTCTAAACATCTGGCAGTGATTAGGTGCCAGTAGAGGTTTAACTGGCTTGTGAAATGTATTTGGCATATTTCTCCTCAACATCCACCGACTGGAAAATTTTTGATCTTTACTTTGCATCTGTTCAAACTGAAACTTTGTTTCTTTTCTTTTTCCTCTCTTTTCCTCCCTTCCCTCTCCTTTTGTTTTAAATGGGGGAAACATGCCAGTTCTAGTAGTTGACTACATCCTACAAAGTTGTGACAGAAGTATTACCTACTTTAAAATGAAATAAAGAAGCAGATTGCCAAATTGCTACACTGTTACCTAGTAAAAATGTATTGGGGGGGTTGCAAGAAAGCTTTCTGTTTATGAAAATTGATAGCCTTACAGCAAAAGGCATAGACTTTACACACTGAGGAGTACTTACAATGAAAACATCAAAGGAAATTATGGAAAGTTTAGGAGTTTGTGAGACTCGAATCTAGTTTTTCTTCAGATGCAAAAATAAACTTGAAGGATGGAAGGAAAGAAACCATGCATATAAGAAAATTATTTTTGGGCACCAGTGTGCCTGTTCTTGGATTGCAGAGTTTTATTCCAGATGCCAGGAGGCCAGTAAACATCATGATAGTTACACTGAATTTCCAGACTTTGGGACACCAAATGATGTGATTATTTATTCACTTGCCAGAGTAGCTGCCTGAAGGGAGGAAAAACTTTTTGGGAGCATTTATTTTGCAAGCCCACACACACTATTAAGTTACTTCTGACACTGTGGCATGGTGTGTCTCCAGGGCCATGCAACATATTAAAAATAATGTATTTACAATGTTCTTTATTTATAGGGTGCTTGTGCCAAAAAATTTGTCATGAGCTTGCCATTATCAGCGTAAGTGTAATGGCAGGAACAAACCAAAACAATGAGGATCCAGTGATACAAACCAGTGAAACCCTTACGCTCCACTCTTTGGGGTTTTGGGGAGAGGCAGGATGCAAAGGACCAAGGGTGGCAATAACATATAATGCAACTTGAGTCTCCTTCCGTTCTGCCTCCATTGCTTTTTGCAAAGCGGAGAAATGGCATTTGCAGGGAAGATGTTTTTCCTGCTGGGAACACTTGCTGGTGCCCCACACTCTATTGAGAGGGAGTGCTAGTCCTTACCATTTGGTTTTCCTAAGAGTGATCACAGCTATCTTATTTCTTTCCCCCACAGAGTTACAGAAATCAGTAATAAAACATGCAAAGAATACTTAAATGACTGTGCTAATAACAAGAGAAAAGAGAAGCTTCAAACATATCATCACATCAAGTGCCATTGCCACCGTTATGGAAGTCAGAGAGCCAAACCAAATCTTGACTTGGTGATTTCCTTTTCAGGGTACAGATTTGGCTTTTCATATTTTCTCTTTACACTTGATGGTGGCGATAATTGTACGACTGTAGAACTTGGTGTAGTTACACGTTTTTCTCAGTAACAACAAAATGATCTGTTGATTGCAGCTGTCTCTGTATCTACCCTCTCTGGAGAATGGAGGAATATCTAAATAATTACATCACTAAATATCTGTAAGGAATAAATTATATTTCCCATTGCTGGTATTCGTAATGTGTTATGTTTTAAATCAGTAAAACAAATTACGTATAATATGCTGGCAGTTTCATTTCCAGCAAGCAACACTGAGCTCACAAACTTTGTGATATTTTTTTACTAATAATTCATGTGGTTTATATAGGGACTTGACTGCTTTAGGGTCAGATTTATCTTTATCAAATGATACTTCTAAGTTGTAGTTATTTATTGGAGTATGAAGGAGTATTTGTTGCCTGGGAAACAAATGAAAGCAGCTTCCTCATAGTCAAACACCACCATATGTTTGAAAACATTGGCCCTAATTTAATACAGGGACAAGCATTGTTAAAACTGAGAACTTCTTCCCATATATCTGTGATATATTTTGTAATTACTACTTTAAACTCTCTCTGTAATCACTGCTGTCATGGCAGTGCTGGTAATAAGTATTTTCAACTGAAATGTGGATACTGTTTGCATAATGACTTAATACTAATGCCCAAAATTGAGCAATGACAAAGTCAAGGTGGTCATTTTGGGACTGTTGCTCCAGGATGACAGAGAAGCTCTTAATATTGATACCCAAAGTAGCTTAAATGCTTCTTTCCACTACTCCTCCACCTCTGCTGCTTCCTCTACCTCCTCCTCCATCTCCTGCTTCTTCTCCTCCTCCTTCTTCTCTTCCTCTGCCAACCTAAGCACCTTGCTATGTACTCCTTGTATAATGATGGTACTGGAGGACAAATTATTTGGGATCCTGTACTTGAGAACTGGAATGTGACTGAATACCCTGTCCTGTGCAGTTCTCTCATTTGATAAGAAAGATGCACAGGGAGAAACAGGTTTGTCCTTGGTAGTGTTCCACTGAAATCAGTGGAGCCTGTACTGCCTCAGGAATGGCCTAGCCTGAAAGCCCAGCTTTCTTAGCCTCAACCAGTTTACTTTAAGGGCAGCTTAATGTGCTTACTGCACAGTTTTCAGTAGATACAGCACATTGACCTTTCACAGGGTATGCCAGTTCAGTTTACCCCAAGCTGGCCTTATACAGTGAACGCTTTATCAGACAATTAATGAGATATCAGCCTGTATTGCTAAAATTGTCCCTTCTGTGTCTTATCTTGGAGCCTGGATGTAATCTACAGGTAAAGCCTACATTTTCTCTTTCTTTCTCTCTCTCATCTTTGTGTGCACCAAATCAAACAAACAATAATCTGCAAATAGGTCTTTCCTGGGTAGAAACTTCAAATATTAATTTTAAAAAAATCCAGTCCAGAGCATTTTACAACAGCCAGAAAGCATCTGAAAACCAAGGATTAGAAGTGGAGTGATCCAGTAACCTTTACTTAGTCCAGTTATAACAGAGCTTATATGAATATAGTGACATAAACATGAAACATATGCAGGAGGTCTGAGTGGTGTGTGTTGGACATGTCACAGGACCCTAACACAGAAGTTCAAAGGCATGAGCAATTATAATAAATGTGTGATACAACACAGAACAAATCCTGAGCAATGCTACTATACAGTCAGTGTGTGTGCTGAACCGGTTGGTAGCACAAAGGATTTTTAACATATGGATGAGAAAGATGCAAACATGCATCGAAGGATATTCTTGATAGTGATATAGAGGAAAACAGAGTGTTAGAAGCTATGAAATTACAAGAGAAATCTGTTATTGCACAGATAGAAATATTACTGTACATCTGCAAAGGATATTGAGCAGAATTAACATATAAGCTATTTATGACAGGAGTATTTTCAGTAAGAAGTTGTAATTGTTCATCTTTGCTTTCAATCTTCTACTTTTCCCAGCCATGGAGGACAAAGAATAGCATGGGCAAACCTATCCCTGTGAAGAAGGGAGTTGTCTAAAATCTCCTGTGGCTCTTTCTTCTCCTGCTTTGGATAACATAAATTTATTTTAGACTGATTTCACTACAGTTGAGGGCTGAACAGAGCCCCTTTTTTGTCACAACCACTAAAAAGTTTGCTTAGATTCGCAAAGACCGTTGTGCCCAGAGCTTGACACTTTTGCCTGCTAGGATAAGGAGGGAAAGGTAATCTTTCAGAGAGAGAGCTGATCAGGCTTTGCAGAGATAAAAGAATAAAATAAAGAGAGCTGGAAGAAATGTCAAGGATGAAAGCAGTTCAGTACTGCAAAGGATGCATGTCCAGTTATCTTCAGCTTCACAAAACGTTCCTTATCCTGAGGTTCTGCGTGCCAGAACAGAGAATCTCTCCTTCCAGCCCTCCCCCTTGGAAAGCAAAATAAAGACACTTTTTACAAGGCACTGAAAGTGAACCCGATCCTCCTCATAATGTGAGTGTGGTCTGTATGAGTGAGGGAGCAACCTAAGATGAATTGTCTTTGGAGTTTGACTGCTTCCACCTAAAACTGCAATCCCTTTTGGTGCATAAATTTGAGGTGAAGACTGGGACGTCGCTGGGGAACAAAGTGAATGAGTTATGGGAGGTAATAGAGACGTGTTGTTAGGAATGTGTATGCCATTTTAATGCTGCTGTTAATTGCCTCCTCTGACATACAGACAGGGAGGCATGATTTTTCAGTGCACTAATGAGAACAGATCTGTTTGCTCTTAAATCATTATGCTGAAATATGATATGATTTAAACTTTTAACTTCTAAGGTTGACCCTCCACACCATGCAGCTGCTTCTGACCCCAGTACTGTAATGATGC